CCCCCATTTCTTTCACAATTTATATAACTTCATTTTGATACATTCTGGAATAACAAAAAATGTAGGTAAACCTCATGAAACAATTAACAGATGACAGGTAAAATCAGAATGCAGTCTTTAAATCAGTTGTGTTTGTCTTAAATATAAATGTTTGTGTCAGTAAGCAAGATGAAATTACATTGGCATTTAGAAACATTACAGAAATGAAAAAAGGAAAATACAATCATTTGCAACGGGGGGGGGGGGGGGGGAGGGAAAAAAATAGCAACCGTAAGCAAAAACGACAAGATGAAAAGAAATATAGGAGGAACCAGGAATCTCACACATTCAGCATCTAAGACGGACAACGCCATGCACAAATAAACCAGCACACACGGAGCAGAACACCCACCAGACAGTGGAAATTAACATCCTCCCAATGGAAGTGGACCCACGCCTTTGCTCCTGCCCACCCGTCCTCCACATTACGCCAATTCCTGCAGATGTAAGTGCACTTAGGTCTCTACCACTGACGACCCGGTCCTGCGCACGTGCCAATTCCTGAAGATGTAAGTCAACCCGGGACTCCGGTCCTACAAGTGCAGATTCCTTGTAGTTGGACGCTGACCTCCACTGCTGCTGACCTCTGTGTAATCCATATTCGCTTGTTCAACCCCTCCAAACCAACCCCGGTTCACGAACTGCGTTGGCTACTCCACACGTCCCCGATCACACACAATCGCACACCATCACCATGCTTATGCACAGTAGTGCTACCCTTGATGCCACATTTTCCAGCAATTAAATACATCGTTTGTTTCTATTTTCTGTCAATTGTATTTTCTTATGTTGATGCTGTCTTGTTTGCAGTTGTTTGCCCCATTAGCCTCGCATATAATTAGCATAATCATCAATTCACATACAAACGAGTCGATGTATGCATCTTGGGTGTTATACAGTCATGCAATTACATCGTCAATGCTTCATTATGTATCTAGAACATAGACAAAGATCCCCCGTACAGCCTTCAACAAACTGTTGGCGAGCACCTATGAAGGCCAGTTTAATACACGAGGGGGTGGGTGACCAACACTACGCCCGGCTTGCCTTTGTCTTTCCAGTACTGATGTCTACACATCTCACAATGGGGAAGGTACTACATTACACACTACTGTACACATTCTAAATTACAGAGATTGGCACATTAAATGAGTAATTTGATACAGATTACATTTAGATGCGCAATTTACAAATATGATATTACACATTTCATGTACATTTGATAATGGCCATCTTTGTTTATACAGTAAGCGTCCCACCTATTTTTCATTATGGACTATCTGTATAATTCTGTATTTCCTCGTTTATCATGCATATCTCTTGTCTATAATTATTTACCCTGTGCTCTTCTTAAGAGGGATTGTGGTCCTCGTGCAAGCCATCCCACCCCTACATATTGACCGGCCCATACTAGACGCCTGTGATCAAGAGTGTTACAGCTCATCGGATTCCTCCAGTCTAAATAAACATTCTGATTCTGACCTGGTGGCCCCGGTCGACCCCTATCAGGGGCTCTTCTACTTCCAAACGAGTTAGGTTCCAGAGGTCTGTTCGTAAGTCGATTTGTTCGTAAGTCCAACTTTGCTCCTGTCGATTCCAAACTTGTTGAGTGGTAAAAGTTGTATAATCTCTTGTAGATGTAGATAGATGCCACTGGTTCTTCATGTTCTGCAGATGTTGATGCCACCACCGGCATCTATTGCGCGGCGGTTGAACTTAGGACCTTTCAGTCTCTGAAAGTTCATAAGTCGAATGGTTCGTAAGTAGAGGAGTCCCTGTACTGGAGGAATCTGCTCTTTTTCACAGATGTTCAGTTAGGGTGGGTAACAACGTTACAACAACAAACAATTAAAAAAACACGAGAGGAGTGCAAAGTACAATAAAGGTAAACAAATCACCCAAACAAATAAACTCAACCATCCCAATCCTACCAGGCAAAGCCCATCGAGGTATTAAGTTATAAAAAAGCGACCTGGCCACAAATGATAGCTCAACAAAGTGGCTTATCATTTGGAAATTTATAGCAGCAAAGTAATCTACCTCCTACTGCTGTGCACACACTCCCCCCTTCCACAACCCCCATCACCTACCCAAATCCAACTTGTGGGTCTCGCTCCGAATAATTCGGGCGGCACGTGACAAACATCTCCATTTTGCTGTGTCGGGTGGTGGTGGGTTTAACGACACATTTATATTTACGCAATCTACCACAAACACTTCTACAATGGATTACCCGTTGATTTGAGGACAATAAAATCACATAATCAAATACGTGGAGGAGGCGTTTTGGCCTTTTAACTCTGCAACGAGAACACGAGCGATCACCAGCGTGGTGACCTAACCAAGCCATGGCCAGCAACAACAAAACACACACAAAGACAAAGACCACCCCCTGTATCAAATTAACAGACTGTTGGGGCAAGTGCTGTCAGCGAGCACCTATGAAGGCCGGCACGACACACGAGGTGGGGTGGGTAAGCCAACACCACCGCGCCCGGCCGCCTTTGTCTCCCCAGTGGCAACGTTTACACACCGCACCAGGTGTTCATGTTAGCCTGAGTCGACCTAGGCGATGCCCAGTGTACCGGGTTCAGATAATAATCGCCAATTTGGTGTTGGCCGCGAGCTGGAATCGAACTCGGGATTCGCCGGGGTTCGTAGCGCCCCCCACACATACAGACACACACACAGACACACATCACACAGACACACACACAGACACACACACACAAACAGACACACACACAGACGGACAACCACAGACACACAAACACAAACAAACACACACAAACAAACAGACACACACACAGACACACACAAACCAACAGAACACACACAGAACCACACACAAACAGACACACACACAGAAACACACACACAAACAGACACACACACACAGACACACAGAGACACACACAGAGACACACAACAACACACAGACACACACAGACAGACACACACACACAGACAGACACACACAAACAAACACAACACATACACACACACAGACACACAGAGACACACACAGGACACACACACAAACACACACACAGGACACATCAAACACAGACACACACACACGACACACACAGAGAGACACCACACAGACACACAGACACGACAACCGCGCGCGTTGACCTCCACGTCGGACCTTTCGTCTCGCGGCAATTTACCCCCCCCGTGCCCCCCCGCGTGCCCCCCCCCGTGCCCCCCCCCCCCGTGCCCCCCCCCGTGCCCCCCACCGTGCCCCCCCCGTGCCCCCCCCGTGTCCCCCCGTGCCCCCCCCCCCCGCGTGCCCCTTCCCGGAGCAAAAATCTCAGCGAGATGAGTCGCAAAATCAAGCGGCGCGGTTCGCTGACTCGCAAAACAACGCACACACGGTGCCGTATCAAAGCGAGCGAGCAGCTGCAACAACAACATCAACAGCCGCAGCAGCATCAGCATTAGCAACAGCAGCAATCGCAGCATCAGCAGCAGTAACAACAACATCAGCAACAACAGCAGCAATAGCAGCAAAAACAGCAGCAGTAACAACAACAGCAGTAACAGCTATAACAGCAACAACATCAGCAGCAGCATCAGCAACAACAACAGCAGCAGCAACATCAGCAGCAACCGCAGCAACAAGAACAGCAGCAACATCAGCAGCAACAGCAGCAACAACAGCAGCATCAGCAGCAGCAACAGCAGCAGCAACAACAGCAGTAACAGCAGCAACAACAGCAGCAACAGCTGCAACATCAGCAGCAACAACAGCAGCAGCAACGGCGCGCAACAGCAACAGCAGCAGCAACATCAGCAGCAACGGCGCGCAACAGCAACAACAGCAGCAGCAACAGCTGCAACATCAGCAGCAACAACAGCAACAGCATCAGCAACAACAACAGCAACAACAGCAGCAACAGCATCAACAACAACAGCAGCAGCAACAACAGCAGCAGCAACGGCGCGCAACAGCAACAACAGCAACAACAGCAGCAACAGCAGCAACAACAGCAGCAGCAACGGCGCGCAACAGCAACAACAGCAACAACAGCAGCAACAGCAGCAACAACAGCAGCAGCAACGGCGCGCAACAGCAACAACAGCAGCAGCAACAGCTGCAACATCAGCAGCAACAACAGCAACAGCATCAGCAACAACAACAGCAACAACAGCAGCAACAGCATCAACAACAACAGCAGCAGCAACAACAGCATCATCATCAGCAACACCAGCATCAACAGCATCAACAACAGCAGCAATAGTAACAACAACATCAGCAGCAACAACAACAGCAGCATCATCAGCAGCAGCATAATCAGCAGCATCATCAACAGCATCATCAGCATCATCAGCAGCAGCAACAGCAGCATCAGCAGCAGCAGCATCAGCAGCATCATCAGCAACATCAGCAGCAGCAGCATCATCAGCAACACCAGCATCAGCAGCAGTAACAACATCAGCAGCATCATCAGCAACACCAGCATCTTCTTGGTTCTTTCGGTAAAGTCACGTAGAAGGGAAGTAATAAAATAATAAAAATAAAACATTATAAAACAATTCTCACGACGTTTCGGCCACAACGCAAGCAGCCGTCCTCACCTGAGGACGTTGTGGCCGAAACGTCGTGAGAATTGTTTTATTATGTTTTATTTTTATTATTTTATTACTTCCCTTCTACGTGACTTTACCGAAAGAACCAAGAAGATGAATCCCTGCAGTCACGAAAGCTTTAAATCGAAACACCAGCATCAGCAACACCAACAGCATCAACAGCAGCTGTCGGCCTGCGCGGTGACGTCACGACGTCGTCGTCAGTTCGCCGGCGTCACGGCGGCGTCGGGAGGCCTCGGGACGTGGAGGCGGAGGAGGAGGAGGCGGAGCGCTCCGCTGGTGGTGCTGGTGGCGCTGGCGGCACGGAGAGGAGGAGGAGGAGGCAGAGGAGGAGGAGGCGGCAGAGGAGGAGAAGGCGGAGCGTGGTGGTGCTGGTGGTGCTGGCGGGGCGGACCGAGCCGCCGGAGCTGCGCTTCTCTGCCATTAACGTCGCGAGAGCCTCGCTCGGCGCTACAACAACAACAGTAACAGCAGCAGCAGCAGCAACACAAAAAAACCCGCGAGCGCAGGCGACGAGGTACTTGTACGCAGCATTCGTCGTCGTCTCGTTGATAATTTCGCTTTAATGAAACGCGTGAACCGCCGTCGTCGTCAAATTCACGTCGAGCAGAGAGTCGTGAGGCGCTCGCCCCGCGATCAAGACGACCGCCGCGGCCTAGGGGCTGTCACCTTTCGCTCCTTTGTTGCCTGGATTTCCGCGGGGTTTGGGGTCGCTGAACCCGGCGGCGCCGCATGCCGGGGGGGGGGGTGGTGCGGTCCGTGCGATGTCTCGTCTCCGTCTTTGATCGATGTTTGCAACGTCCTTTCGCTTTGTTTGTCGCTGCGTCTATCCCGTGAGGTGTATGGAACGTGTCCTTTTATTGTTGTCGTCCACTGTGACCGCGTTTGACATGTGGTTGGTTGCGAATGTGCGATGCATTTGCGTGGGCTGTGGGCATACTACACGTACGCAACATAGCGCTGTGCGTATTACGTGCGCGTAATGAATATACTGTGCGCGCAGTACATGGTAAAGTTAGTACGTTGTTTCGGTCTGTCAATTGAACACAGGCAATGGGGAGACAAAGGTGGTCGGGTATATTGTGCTGGCCCCCCCGTCCATGACTCGCTGCCGCTTGCCTGGCTATCCTTAATAGGTGCTCGCTAACAGCAATTCACCCCTTGCCGTCTGTATCAACCTGTGTGTGGGCTACACGGACAGATCGTTGCGTGTGCGGTACATTAATTTGCTTAGCGGGGATGTTGTCGACCGCGTTGTGATTGCGGTGACGCTTGCTGCAGTCGCAGATCTTTGGCAATAATTTTATTTTTCATGTGACAACAACCTCCTCTCGTCGTTGTTACTGCGGGGACACTTGCGATGATGTTCCAGCTCTTCCATAACAAGCTGCACAATTTGACGGCAGCGCCGTGTTTCATGCAGTGCGTGTGCGAGTGTATTCTGTGTATATATGAAGAGCTCACTGGACAGAAGTGATTTCACTGCAGGGAGTGTAGCTTACTCGTAGCTAAATGCGCACTAATGCATGCGTGCGTGTGTCTGTGCGTAGTACATCTTGCTTACCAACGTACACGTTTACGTGCGTGCAGATAAGCAGGCGGCACTGTTGATTTGGCCATGTGTTTTGAGCAAACGCCTTCGTGGAAGAAGAAGAAGAGTCTGTTCAAATGTGTTTTTGCCCGAGTCATTAGTGTCTACGTATCGCATGCAAGTCCCAAGCACTCCGCCGTGGTAAACTGCAGAGGTCGTGTCATTGTTGTGTTGCCTTTCGAGTGACCGTAATAGTGTCACGTTTTAAATAATTGGCGAGCCCATAGATCCAATTAAGATTTACACACGGGGTCATTCGAATGGCGCCCTAAATAAAGTCGATTGTTTTAAATCGCCCGCTGTTGCGCTCTCCCCACGTTTGCTGTGGTGGGAAGTGAGAAGCCCTTGAATCTTCGACGAAGGGAAAAAAATAAATTGCGCTGTGCTTTTTTTTTTGATCATTGGGCAATTGATTGACCAAGTAGCCTGTCAACTGAAGGGATGCTGGAGGTATTGGGATCGGATTTATTTATTGGACTCTGTTATTCTATTAAACCGGCTATTTATAAATAAGTATACAAAGCTTTAATGTGTTGTCCCAAAGGCAAGGATGTGTTTTGTTAATTTCCGTGCACCGCTAATGCGTTTAGTTAGTTGGCGTTGAGAATTATATTTAAAGGAAATCAGCCTTGATTTCGGAGTGTGTGATTGTGGCGAGACGGTAAACCCGATCTGTTGAATACCCAAATGTATATCGATGGTTGCAGGTCATTTTGTATGTCATGAAATAACAGGCTCCAATGATGCATCTCAGTAGTGATCAACACGGTAGCTCGCAAAGACAGGTTAATAGTGGTATTGGTTTTTCCTATCGTGTAAATAATTAACTAATTATTATAATGGTATATGTATGGATGTAATGTGGGTGGGTTATGGCCTCAGCGAAAGCGGCTTTCTTAGCATGCACGTGATGAATATGTAGTTGACATGAGATATGTGGATGAAAAATGCTTTATAGACCCAACTTTAAATATATGCTTGTGTTGTACTGGTCAAGCAATATATCACTATCAGCAAGAACAAGGGATATAAACATTGCTGAAATTGCATTGACGCAATGCTCTTGTGTTTTAGCAGGCTGCGCACGAGTGTGGATGTTGTCTAATCATTGAAAATATTGTTTTTTAAATGTCCGCATCATTTGTCATGGTTTTCTTAATATTGGTCCTTTTCCAATTCCACGCTGTACTTTTTGAGGTCCTGTTGAGACCTTTAATAAGGACACCATTAAGTTAAGGGAATCATTTATAAAATGAATTGGCATTTTAGTGCGGTGGAAATTAAAAGTGTGACGACATACATAATGTACAGTATTAACTTTACCATGATAGCATTAATTGAATCTGGAGTCTGATTGTTCACCCTGTCGATGTCACGCAAGCACTAAATCACTGTTGCATTTGAAATGTGCGGGTGTGGAATATCGTGTTTGTAATGGTAGTAAATAATATTGACGTGTAATTGCATGGCCTTTTAATTAAATTATGAATTACTCTTTCAGTTTAATGTGTTGTGTGTCAAAGTAAGATTACGAGAAATGAAGATTTGATAAACTGCTGCATGAGCACTCAAGAAGATCCTCTAGGGATGCCTTCAGAGTCTGACGTGTGTCCAAGGCCATCTGTTAAGCAGTGGAGATAAGGTTTGGACAATAGTAGATATAGCCTTGACTTGTGAATCGTCCTCAGTTCTATCGTCAATTCTACTCATGGGGAAAGAAGTGCAGTACTTTTGGAAGTCGCTGGAAAGTCAATTTATTGGGCTTGCTATCAAAATAGTTTTTCCCTTAAAGTGTTTTTCATTTCAAAGGCCATTGTTCAGAGAAAATATTGTATCGGTGAACATCTGAAACATTACAATGGTGAAGCAACAACAATTTTAATTTAAACATGTATACCCATTCAAGAATCGAATGTGAAAGGTGGTGGTTTTTAACTGTAAATTGTATTTTCACACAGATAATAACACCATCATTTAGATTTGTTTTTACTTGCTGTGCATATCTGTTATTTATTTTTATTCTGGGTTATATATTAAATACCAACATAAGCTATTATAAACTTAACAAATCAAGCATAAAACATAGCATGTAACACCCAGTCATTGAACAATCATCTTACACATATCAACGAGTGCTATAAACAGTCATCATTGCAGCAAACCAAGTTACATTTTATTTATTTTGGAGACACTGAAATAACTATACTCAACATGTAGAGAACAAAATGTGTTGGTAAATTCTAAATTATATTAAAATAGCATTTCAGAGTTTTAATAATCATTGATTTTGTTGCACCAGGCCAAAATACTAACTGCAGATTACAAGTTCTTAATTCGCGAGTGGAAATTTTACATGAATATAAATGTTACTTATGGAAGAATATTTTTCCAACAGAATCAGTTCATGATGCAATTAAAGGCATTTTAACCTATCATTTTGCTGTGCAGAACCTCAGAACGTAAATTGTACAATATATAATATAGTGGTGTTTAAAAAAACATCTACAACATGTAAGTTGCTCATTGTAGTTCTACGTATCAGCTTTAGTTTGTTGCATATATAGTTGGTCTCTCGAGGTCAGTAGTCAAGATTTAAATACTCGGGGGAAATAGTTAGATTTTTGCTAGCCAGTTGTGAACAGATTTGTGCATGTGATAAACATGGAAGGTGACAGCTTTATGAGCTAACAAATAAACAAGTCTTCATCACTGGTATTGTTTGCCTATTTCAACTTGGAGATATTCATCACAACAAGGACAATTATGGATTTGACATGAGACACCACCATAGTTTTTTTTATTGAAAGCATCCCAAAAAACTATGATTTAAATAGGCTTTGCTTCAAGCATGGTTATTGAAGCTTATTTTTTGAAGACATTGTCACATGTATTCTTAGTATTAAGTAATTCGTTAATATGTTTGCAGTATTTAATTCCGTTGTCAGCTTGCTTATCATTATGGAATGGCAATTTGCAAGAATGTATATTTGAACAAATATTTTATGCATCTGCACTCTTTCAATTAAAGATGTGCAGACTAAACAAAGGCATCTGTCTTTAAAACGATGTGTGGAAATCTTTTTTATAAACGGCCATTTCAACAGTTTTATTATTATTGTCTGCCCTCTTTTCACAGCTGAACCTTGACACATGGAATGAACCTCGTGTAAAACGCATCGTCCCATCGTTTTGCTGTAAGCATTCAGTGCAGTGACCCACAGAGCACGAAGATGGACTCGCAGGCAGATGAGCGTGAAGCAAATGGAGAAATCAATGAGTATGCAGAAGCCGACCTGGAGCATCTCGATGAGGCCGGTGGGAGGCGTGTGGTGCTGGACCGGCGCCAAGCACGGCCCGACGGGGCACAGAGCCAGCGTGCGGGCGACTCCGAGTATGAGCAGTCAGACGATGAGGGCCGACAGTTGGTTGGGTACGAAAATGAACACTTGGATGATGACGGAAGAACCTCCGAGTACGACAATGAGCAACTTGATGAAGAAGGCAGCAGGCGTGCTGTGGAAAGTGACGGACAGTTCTATGGAGAACCTGATGGCCAATCTGCAGAATATGAAAATGAACAGTTGGATGAAGAAGGCATCAGGCATGTCATTGAATATGATAATTATAATCATTCTGATGAAGAGGGAGGGCCATCAGAGGATTATGAAAATGATCACTTGGCAGGAGAGGGAAGGAATGAAGTGCATTACGACAGTGAACAGTCTGAAGAGGAAGCAGTTGTGCACTCGGTTGAATATGAGCAGCAAATGTATGCCAGAGTAGTTCATGTAGAACCTCAGGACTTGGATAGGAATCTAGCAAGGTCAGGAAGTACTGAGAGTGGTTTTCACAACCACACTGACACAGCCGAAGATGATTTAAGCTCAGAATATGCTACCGTAAGGGACCATGATGAGAGGCTGCCTGAGAACGATGATGAAAATGTTTACTCGGTTGAGTATCGCCCTGAGGCAGAGGAGTATCTAGAACAGGCAGAATCTGAACATGCCCCAATGTCAACTGCTGTGCAGCCGAGCCAGGCCAGTGCTGAACCAGCCAGTGCAGCACCTCCCAGTGCCAATGGAAGAACAGCCAACATGGTCCCCAGAGTCCATCAAAATGAAACCAGGTCTGAGCGACGCCGACCAAACCAACAGAGCGCGAGGCGATCTGACCAACAAGTCCCTGAACAAAGTGTGCGGAGACCTGGGCCACCAGTTCAAAATCATCGAAGTGCGAACAGGCCAGAGAGGCTGCCACAGAATACCAGGCGGTCAGAGCAAGTGCCACAGGATCATCCAAATGCAAGACGAGTTGATAGACAACAAGTTCAGCAACCTAGCACACAAAGCGCGAGACCTGAGCGACAGCCAGCTAACCAGAAAAGCATGAGAGCTCCTGAATCCCAAGTGACGAACCTTCGGAACGTGAGAAGACCTGACAGGCCGCAGCCAGCCAGCCAGAGCAATAGGCGATCCGATCCAATAGTCGCTGATCATGTAAGCATGAGGCCCAACTCATTAAATGTGGACCGTCAGAGTGTGCGGAGGTCCGACCCAGTTATTTCATTGCATATAAATCCGAGGAGAGCTGAAGCCCCGGTACCTGACCAGCAGGTGGTGAGGCAAGAATACCAAGGTGTAGAAGAGGCGTATCGCGTCTTTCACCCACGTGCTGATCACAACGCGGAAGAGCACGTGTACGAGGAGATCGGAGATCACCCTGTTGCCGACACAGTTTATTCCATGGAGCCATATGAACAAGAGCGCGAGGAGGAAGACGACTACGACAGCAAGCAAGTTCTAGGGGCAAGGCTTCATCATTACGATGTCAAGTCAGATTCAGAGTCAGACAGTCCAGAAAAGGATGCAGAGTACACGTCCTATCCTGCTCCAGATCCGGACAGTGATGAGGAGCATGAAGAGGAGGACATTGACCAAATTGTGGCTGAGGTCAAACAGAGTCTAAGTTCAAAAAGTTTGGATCGGATTGCACAGGACATGCCGGAGTCAGAACAAGGTTGGCATAAAGTTGAACCAATTTTTAGTTTTTTCATATTTTGTGCGAGAGAAGACAATAAAATATTCTAACGTAATTTTTGTGAAAATTTCTGCATTTAAATTAATACAAAATTAATGTAGGTTTCATTGCTTAAAAATGTTGTCTTGATGCAGGCAGATTTTATGTAAATAAGTCATGCTCTTACGCGCTGCTAATGTCTTCACAGAGCAAGGAGCTGGTGCGGCGCACAGCGGCGCAGAAAGCCGCACCAATGAAGTCTCGGTGGTGAGCCGGGAGCAGCGGGAGGCCATCTCGCTCGCACTCAAGGACATTCAGGATGCCATTGCAGAGGTCAAGACCAAGACCATGCGCTCACCCTACACGCCCGAGGAACCCGCTGAGCCAATCTGGGTTATGCGCAACGACCAGAGCCCACCGAGGGAGTTAGAAAACGGCATTCCCGGAGAGGTACACGGTGCATGTGTGAGACGAAGGGTGCATGGCACCTGTATGTGGGTCAGATTGACATAAAAATGTTGCAGTCGCTCTCTACAAATGCTAGGCTTCCCATGTTGTGCATGGAGAGATTGCTCCGCGGGGGCAGGGTCATGATGCGTTTGGATCAATCAGTGTAGAGGGTACGCACTGCTTGCCAGCTAGAAAGGTTCTACATCATTTTGGCATTGGGATTGTTTCGTATGCCTTGAGTAAGGCATTGCGACTGCCTTTTTCAATAAATCACATCAGTTTAACACGTATCAACCCCATTCTTAAGGAGTTGTCTATCAAACACCATCATTTGCATTTACCCAAACACATTGTTAATTTTTGGAAGGTCACTATTATTTATAATCTTGTGGGATCATATACGAGTAGGAATCATTGTGGTTGTGCATTGTTTTTTGGGGTGATTTTTTTCTGTTGATGTTACATATAATTGGGAAAATATATATATATATCTGCAGTAATAAAAAAAATGCCACACTCGTTTACAGTAGATAATGTACACAACAGCACATTTGTCAATCCACGGCTGGATGAGGGCATCCCCATGCTGTGCAGGCAGTGAGAGTTTATGACTATACTTCACGCTGGTCAGTGAAGATTGGTGGAGGTGAGGGGGGGGAGTACAAAACAACAATGGATCTTGTTGAACTGTTCTTTAATGCCCACAATACCTAATATGACGTCACTCATCCAAGCACTATCAAGATTCAACCCTGTTTATCTTACAAGGTCTCATGGGCAGGCCCAGTGATTGGTCATAGACACAGTAGATGGTATATTAATCATTTAACGTCTGCTGTCGAGTGCAGTTTTTTAAGAAGTGGTTTTGAGATGTTTTAAGTAGAATTTAATTATGAAATGTGTTCACATTCATCGCTGTTGATCTTACTCTGGGTTAACTGGCAAAAATGTTAAAAATACATTAATAGTACTTATTCCTGTCATGTGCAGCAAATTAGTTGTCAAGATACTTGTCTTCTCTAAGTAGTAAGCAGCATGCGTGGGGTTTTAATGGCAGACAACTGGGAAATGAGGAATCGTGTCTATAATGAGATTTTAGTTTTATATCAGAATGGTGACATACCGTTTAATGTTAATAGCCAACTGTTAATTTTGTGATGTATTATTGTTTGACAAATCAAATATGTACGTACATGTTTTTGTTTATTTTTAAAATAATTTGTTTTAACTAAACATTACGTGTAATTATATTCTTGCTCTATTTTCCTGTGTTCGTATTTAACATTGGTTTACATTATCATTAACATGAGTGCTCCCAAGCTATATGCGCAGTTGGAATTTCATGAATTATTTATTCTGTGATGCAAGTGGCCTGAGGAATTTGAACCGGGTACAAATTTTATATTCTTGTGGCCATGCAATTTTCATAGTGGCATTTCTCTTCCACCAAGCAGTGGTAAAATTATTTTATAACATAAATGATGGTTTTGTTTTTATCGTCTTCAGATGTATTGACACTTAAAAAGCAGCTGGTTATGTTATTTTATGATTTGCGTCAACCCCACAATGTGACTGGCCAGCAACATCTATTCAGAACAAGATACACATTATTCATAACAGTCTTATTAAATCAAGACATGTTATAGATTACTTTAATTGAGCTTGCATTTGGGAAGGTACAGTAATACCATTTGATTTAGAATATAGGGTACATTGGTACATTAAGGCTGCTGGTCTTGTTAATATTCGTAATTTACATGTCTGCATTCACGATTCGTTGAAACCTTAATCTCATCCACGTGGGGATATTGTTTTCTGAATAAATGTCACGATTTAATCCTTGTTAACCAGCAGTTGTACATAAATCGCTAACATCCACCTATACATCAATTCTTGTTTATATACGGGTTATGTAGGCACAAACAAAAAATACAGTTCACTTGATGAACACCATCCTTACCTTCATTCTGACATGCATTGTGGATAAACCAGGCACATATGTTAATTTCGATTCAGAATATTTGTTTATAAAGGAGGAATCCGATGAGCTATAAAGATTTTTTTCACAGATGTCCAGTAGGGGTGGGTAAGAACGTTAAGATAACAAATAATACAAAAACATGATCGTAGTCCAAAGTACAAGAAAAGTAAACAAATCATGCAAACACATACTTACAAATTAAACTAAACCATCCCTATCCTACCAGGCAAAGCCCACTAAAGAGAGAGTCCAAGGCAGAGCAAATGGGCAAGTTCTTGAGCCTGGACATGAATAGGGTCAGAGTCAACAGCATGGATGGTTGGGGGAAGAAAGTTTGAGACTATAGCAGCATCAGAGACAAAAAATTAACCCGTAAAAACAAAGTTTTCACTATAAATCCTTTATATGCGTGGCGGCTAGAGTCCTCTCGTCTTCTGGCTTGAGATGGCTGCCACCTATGGGTCAGATGATTGCCTGCCACCATTAAGCAATTGGTAATTAAATATAAAAAAAAAATTCCTAAAAAGTGTAAAGTTATGGAAAAAAAAATTCACGAAAATAAATTGTCACGCACAACGAGTCTGTGTGCAAAATGTCAGCTCGATTGGATCACGGGAAGTGGGTTAAAAGACGACCGAAAAGATTTGCACAGTCGTAAGCTCGCAAGCAAGTGAACTTAATATAAAGGATTTAAAAAGGCAACCTACTGAGTGAACGTTGAGAGGAGGTTTCAAAAGAAGGCCTTGATTGCGGGATTGGAGAAAGTGTGGAGGGCAGTAGAGTGAGATAAGCGGGGAGAGGTAGATGGGGGCAAGTCCATTGGACGATTTTTAAGACGGTACATATGATTTTGTCGTGGATCTAAAATTGAACTGGGGAGCTAGTGGAGGAGTTTTTAGTTGTAGGGTGGATGTGTAAACATTTATGGGTATCGGTGAGAAGTCTGGCAGTGGCAGTTTGGATTATCTGGAGTTGTCGAGAACTCGGTTGCAATCGTCGAGTCAGTTGTAATGAAGGTATGGATGAGGCTTTCAGCAGCACTTACAGTAATAAATTGATGGATGCCTTTGGGTACTTTAGTTTTGGCAACATTTATTTGGAGAAAGTTAAAGCCCAATCCAAGGTGAGCCTGCATCAAGTCAGAAGGTGAATATTGATGTTTTGATCATGCAGCATATGGTTTTGTAGAACTGTGATGGCCGACATAATAACTGGAAATAATTTTTACCAAGCGGGAGGAGAAATTGAGAAGAGTGGGGGGCCAAGGATAGAACCTTGTGGGGTACCATAGTACAGCGGCTTTTCAGAGGAGGATGGTCTTTGTCAATGTTGAATGAGCAGTTTGAGATGACAGAATATCTGGAAAATAAGTCTGCCGGAGACATCTACATAGTTATGGAATTGCTCAGTGGGAATCGAGAGGTCTGGTTTCATGTTAACACATAGGATTTTGCGACCAATATTATCCATAATAGAGGTTTTTGGGTTATATCTCGTAAATATGTCGTTAAACCTGCCACCACCCGATACCACAAATTAGTAAGATTTGTCACATGAACAAAACATTCCAGTGCGTTACTCGTTCAGCACACCGGTGTGTTGGAGAGTAAACCCACAACATTTACAATTTGAGTATGACATTTTGCTGGTAATTATAACCAGCTTCATCAGGCGACAGCCAGAGTTGTGGATAAATCTTCCTGTTTCTGGTTTCACGTAGGAAAATAGTTTCAGTAGAAATACCATGTTGGAAATAGCATTTTTTTACTGGGTCATGGAGACCATGATGTGTTTGGAGAGGGGGAGAAGATAACTCTTTATGGGTCTTTCCTAGGAAGTGGAAGTTTGAGATGGAACAGAAATTTGATGGGATGTTGGGGTTCAATAACAGTTTTTTTCCCAGAAGGGTAATGACAACAGCAGACTTGACACTTTAGGGAACAGTACCAGATAATATTAAGCCATTTAAATAGCTGGTGATGTAGAGGACCAATGTGGGTAGGGAAGGGAGAGATGAGTTTGTTTGGCAGAGGATCCAGGGGGAACATGTGGTAGCCAGTAACATTGAGCTCACACATGTATGTCGTAGTACATTCTCGGAGTTACTTCACCACCAGTTTAAAGTATTTTCAAAGACTACTTCAATTTGCTGTTTATTACTATCATATGTGAAATTTGAATTATTATTGAATACATATAGTAAAATATGAACGAACACTAAGAGACAAGAGCTATTGTTAATTTGTTATTCCATTAACACGGTTAACTATTGATAATAATCAGACGTTTAATGATGTATTAATTAATTAAGATTGTACTATTGAATCTATTAGTTATGCCTAGAATATATAAGTAGTTCACAAACCCTGCAGGCACTAGAATCTCTACATTTAATTGTGACAATTTTTAATCAAATCCCAACCCTGCATTGTGGCAATTCACGAAATCTTAAAGCACACATTGCGACGTGTTGTGCTAATCATGTGTGTAAAAGTGGCTAAACCGGCATATTTGGCTTCTGCTGTACTTATTTTGGAGTAGTGAGCCAGCACTGATGAAAACCTGGATTAGAATCCTAGGCAGTCACCCGAGATGAACCCATTTCTGATATATTGATGTGTAGCTAATATAAGGTATCAACCAGGTCAGTAATGGCTGTACTCCAAAAATATTAAGGCAGCCTAGCTCAACTATATCAGCCCTTTAAATCGGATGAGGCAAACCCACTTTCAAAGGGTGTAAAAAGGAGTGCCATCTTGTGGGTGAAGCAGTGCGATCGTACCATCACCTTTTGGGATTGTTCACTAGAGACATAGTTGCCCTGCCAACAGTGGGAGTGCTCATGGAACAAAAGCTTTTGTTTCCCACGTGACACACGTCTTATAAGTACCATTGGGATACACTGTACTTGGTGGTCGTAAAAATAACATTTATTTCCGAATTGATTACCTTTTCTCTATTTTGCACTCTGATCGGGTGTTTTTTTTGTATTATTTGTTATTGTAATTTGCTGACCCACACCCAATTGGACATCTGTGAAAAAGAGCCTCAAAGCTCATCGAATTCTTCTAATCTCAATAAAGATAAACGATTTTGAATTAAAAAAACCTATACCGCTGTAACAGATTTTTAGAAACATAACTCTGGGTGTGTTTTTTTTTTTTACACGGTGAAAACTAACTTGAGATTGCAGTCATAGTTGTGTTTGGACTTGGAACCTGCCATTTCATAGTGTGCAACAATATAACTACAAAGATGCATACTGTGCGATATGCCCATGGCATTGCACCATTGCTTGGGCACGCTTTGTTTAAATTACGTTTATTTCTGCAATCTACTGTTTTGGCTGTGAAAATATAAAAAAAAATTGCGAGAATAACATACTGGCCAATGTACCATACGAGCACCCATGAGTAATTGAGTATTTCAAAGGAAACCCAATTGTGCCACCTGCTGAAAGTGTCCGAAAAGACCCATGACATCAATAACAAAATGAGGGAGGCTATTGTTTGCCAAACTATCTATCTCAATTTATCTGCCCATGGGCACGTCCATGGCTCAGGATCCCGTAATCTCATCCACACTCAAACTAGAGTTCTTGAGCCAAAAACTTGGGAAGGGTAGTTGAGATGGCTTCCCTTTAGTATGCCAATGCCATCACACAAATGTCATATGTTTGAAAATGACCTGTCAAATGATAATCGTTACACTCAACATTTTTCCTGGACATTGTTTTAACAACATTAAAGTCTGTAACTAATCAAGTGGAGGGTTTTTATTTAACGATATTGGTATGCTTGCATTTAAATGACATCAACATCTATTTAAGGCCTCGACACAGAGACATTGGGTCTCTGTGTGTCTATGTTGTGTGTCTCTCTATGTGTGTGTCTCCGTGTCTGTGTTTTGTCTCTCTCTCAAATTTAGTTATACCTGATGACGGTTGCTTGTGTTGCAATCGAAACATCGTATTCTATTATTTAATTTATTTTCTTTCTAGGTGACTTTACCGAAAGAACCAAAGAGTAATTGGTAAATAGGTTTATATATATAGTTGACTTTTATTTTGTTCGTAATTACCTGTGCATGTATTTGCATGCTTTGCATTGTCACTGCAAGTGGTAGTTATTTCCACTCTATGAATAATCCAAGGCAGGAATGTGATCACGATGGAAAATAGGCTAAATCATTTATCAGCCTGTATATAATATGGCCACGCTCGTGTTTTGCAGAGTCCAGTATCTCCTGTCTCTCCGTCGGGCATGGAAGCCGGAAAGAGGCAGCAGCGATCGGACCTGAACGCTATGGCAGGATCGGACCCAGCCAGAGACGTAAGCCTAACCTACCCAACACAATACCTGCCCACTAAAACCACTGTTTAGTCCTGCTTCAAAGATATATGTTATGGTTTAGAAATACATTTTACGTGACGTATTTCTCGATAAAATATGTGATAAGTTTAAATGTTTTGCACTGGTTTAACAGAATGTATAGTTCAATAACAACTTTATTCAAAAACCGAAAATATAGTGAAAAAAACGTATTTTACTCTGGTGAAGTTTTTAGTTGTTGAGGCTTTTAAGATATTTATAGTATTCAACGTTGCTGCTTCAGTAATTTGTAGAAAATAGTTAATGGGTTAACTGAAAATAAATTCACAATCATTTCCTCCAGAAGGGCTGTTGACAGAGATGTGAATCTCTTATTTTCCGTTCAGTGACAGGAAAATCCTGTCTTAAATCTTACTTTAAATGTTGCGTGTTTTATTGTTCCCACATTGTTCACTGAAAAGTAACGGCATCTGCAAAGGACTGTTCCAGTTTTTATCACAAAGACCCATGGTCTTCTTTGTAAAACCTCGTACAGCATTCTTTTATCAAATCGCCTATAGTGCAGTGCACTGTTATTATTGGCGGTCCATTTGCAACGATGCCTCTGGTAGCAGGATATTAGTCATTCTACAAAACATGTTCTTTCTACCTCAACTAAAACTAAACTTTGTATTATTTTAGTAGTAAAGCACGAGAGGCAATTGAGAGATTGTAAGGATATGGTTGTGGGAGTGACCGCCAAAATAAATTAAATTATAATTGACAAAAGAACCAAATGTTCACGTGGAGTTATTAGACAGTTCTCTATCAACATTGTATGTCAACACAAACATTAAGACCTCTGATAATATCTGACCTTTCAAAATACTTTGTAATGGCTCTTCTGTTTAAGCATAACTTAATATGAAATTACATGTTAAGTAATATGTAAATTTATGGTAATACTGTGCTTTATATTTTACGTGAACTTCTCAAATGTTTACATTCTCATTTTATATTTTGTCCAATTTCATTGCAGGCTGCCAAAACTCCACAGTATCCAAGTTTTGTTGATGGTAAGATCGGTCTTTTTCTTTAGCCAACAATTGAAATTGTATTTCTAGTGGCTGCCACATTTTGTAATGACAGCGACTCTGAAAAGAATGGGGAATCGATATCTGACAAATACAAAAAGTGAGGTTGTCAGCATTTTGCCAGACAGGCATTTTTTGGTGGTGATCTTCTGGCCAAAATGCAGTATATAATATGTGTACATTGTGTTGCCTTTCTCACCATATATTGTTTGTATTTTGCTAAATAGATGGACTACTGTTGTATTTTTTTTTTGTTTTCATTGTGGGGGGTTTTATATATTATATATACAGCATTTACATTTATACATGTATTTACAAATGCTGTTCCAGTGCAATGTACAGTGCTTTCCATATTACTGTGCAATATTGCACGACAACAAAATTACATTTTGCTGAGTTAAGCAAGTCACTTGAATATTAAATAAGAGCAGTCCTTCGACACATGGTTGGTTTGCCCCCTGCTGGGCACCAACTGTCTAAAGAAGCATGAATGCAAGCACCCAAATCCTCATCTCTTTAAAAAGTAGCAATTCACTTCTCCCAAGTGAATCTTGCGAAACTTTAGCTCCTTTCAGCATTTATTATATCCGTAATATTAGTCTCTGCACGTGTTGAATGTGAATGCATATGGAATACAAACTAGGCCTCGCAATTTAAACAATAGCATTTGCCTGCAGGCATTGGCACATGAATGACTATTAAAATTTTAATTGTAATTAAATAGCAAAATACCGTACAAATTCCACTGTAGTTAATTTAATCTCCTGCAGTTTTTTTTCTATATCTATGTGGACTTGCGCATCAAGAGCCTTTGAATTGACGTCTCTGTACCACATTTGTATAATGGTTTTATGAGGGCTATGGAATGCCGTGCTTTTATCCTTTTGTTTCCATGTCCTTCAGTCCCAGGCCCATGCGACCCAGAAGACCTTATTGACGGAATTATATTTGCCGCTAACTACCTGGGCTCAACACAGCTCTTGTCTGAGAAGAACCCATCAAAGAATGTGCGGATGATGCAAGCACAGGAAGCTGTCAGTAGGATCAAGGTAAGCTGTTAGAATATGTATTGTTCATTACACCACAAGGACTTTTTCACTATCTGGCCCAGCTTTATCTCTTGCTAACTCTACCTTTGCTCTTTGGATTTATCTCTCTTAAAACAAGGGTGCAGTATTGTCAAATGCCTCTAAAATATTGGCAATAAAACATATGCTTGTTTTGCATATCTCGTATGATCATGGTGCTTAATTGGAGTTTGCATTACTCAGGACAAATATTTCTCATTTAGGGTACATCTAATTAGTAACAGGGGGCCTCTTTTGGCCATTTAATTCTCTTTAGATGATGCAACAACAATATTCGGGATTATTGAGGTTATATTATTTGCCTTTAATTAGTCTTGCTCTGAAAACAACTTGCAATAAAGCAGTATTATTTCAGTTTTTACACATATATTAGGTTATAATTAGACAGTGTTATTTTTAATATGCATTAGCATGGTGTAAAATAATAAGTAAATCTGCAACGAAGCATGGCTCTTTCATGCTATCCTTTTTTCTCTCCTAACCATTCTGCCATTTTAATTTGTTTCATGCTGTTCAGAGGGCTCAGAAATTGGCCAAAAGCAAGAAGAAGGTGGTGAAGTCAATTTAAACCTCTTCCCTCGTTAGATTTGCACTTTCATTTACTTTCAAACCACTTTACTCATATGCATTCACAAAACAAGCCTTGGTTTTTTTTCTCACAGATTCTGCTTGTGTTTGGCATTCGCAACATTGCTTCTTATAATGTTATTGTGGCCTCTGTTCACTTGTCATGTATGCAATCATTTTTGTTAAGCACTTTAATGCATCGTTATTGTTTTTTAAATAGTCGCGGGAGACTGGTATTTTTGTTTTGCATTTTTGTGTTGATATTAAAATCGCCAGTGTAAGATAATGTATTTCTCAAGTATCAAGTTTGACAAAGCCAAATAAAGCATGTACTTTGCATCCACATTTTGTATAGTTTATAACGCAAGCTTACTTTATTAAATAAAAATTTGATATCTGAGTCTTTCCTCTTGCTCCGGCAGTACATATACTGAATAATATTTGTAAGCAACAACATAACGTATTTACTTTTTTAATTACTGCTATCAACATGATGTAATAGTTTCAGCTAAAGCCACACATTTCCAATTATACAATGTTGGCCTATGGTCATTTAATAGTGCATTTTCCGGAGTTGGCTTATCTCCGAGTTTTATGTGCCGTGTTCACATGAGCCCAACCGTTGCAAACAGCATTATACCCTGCTTCATCATGAAGATATAATTAACCATCTGACCACCATGCTCATTAAATATGTTTTTGCAGATGAAATGTGACTTATGGAAATACATTTGCGGGCTGCACACAATGCATTATTGCTGCTCACTCTCATGTACATAATAATATGTTCACCTATTTATGTCTGCTGTAGTTTTTGCTTGTACGCAACATGGCAGTTTTTTGTTTTTAATGCAGCTTCTCATTTTTTACAGGCCCCAGAAGGAGAATCGCAACCCATGACTGAGGTTGATCTTTTCATTTCAACTCAAAGGATCAAAGTGTTGAATGCTGACACACAGGTTCGAACCGTTCCAATACATTCAATTGTTTACCAAACCGTGTGTTCAAGTAAAACTAATGAATCGGCAATGTGGGACCCATTCAAATGGTGTGTGCAGTAAATACCAGGGTTTGTTTTGTGCAGGAGACTATGATGGACCACGCTCTACGTACCATCTCGTACATCGCAGACATTGGGAACATTGTGGTACTCATGGCGCGCCGCCGTATTCCTCGCACTGCTTCGCAAGAAGGCATGGAAGCCTCCCATCCAGGGCAGGACAGCAAGCGGCAGTACAAGATGATCTGCCACGTGTTCGAGTCTGAGGACGTAAGCAGCATTGGTTAATTTGTTTCAAAGTGTTCTGTTTGATATTGCTTTGTATGTGCCATCTTAGTTTTCTTCTGGTATTACCAATTTTGTCGCTTCCTGGCTGTTCGTCATTGTTGGGTTTTTATACCGACAGGCTCAGCTGATTGCCCAGTCCATTGGGCAGGCATTTAGCGTGGCATACCAAGAATTTTTGCGTGCAAATGGTATAAACCCAGAGGATTTGAGCCAAAAGGACTACAGTGAACTCCTCAATACACAAGAGATGTACAACGATGACCTCATCCACTTCTCAAAGTCTGAAAACTCCAAAGAGGTAAGCCCAATCGCTCATGAAGATAATTGTATTATGCTTGGTAAAACACTGACCATCAAATGTTTTCTTTAGTTATGTTGCTGTCTGCAGGCTTGATATTGCAGAAACGATTTAACATATTTGTTTTGTAGATAATAATAGAGAAGCAGAAAGGAGAAATCCTCGGAATAACAATCGTGGAATCTGGCTGGGGCTCCATCTTGCCAACGGTCATCATTGCCAACCTCATGCATGGTGGGCCCGCTACGCGTTCTGGCAAGCTGAACATCGGCGACCAGATCATGTCCATCAATGGCACGAGCCTCGTCGGGTTGCCTCTTTCTACGTGTCAGACCATTATCAAGGTACCACAGACTATTTTTTGCCCAACCAGGCTCTTGTTCCACAGCATTGTTGCACCATCATTGCATTGTTGGAAATTCCATGGATAGCATAGAGAATCACAGAATCACATAATCATCATAATCTTCTGCTGACTGAAGTCCTCCCCGTACCAACGCCATCCATCTTGCTTCTGCACAAGATATTAACTCATCTCGCCATCATTGCGGTGTTCATCATCTCGGGCATGTTCCCTTGGTGACTTGCCATTCTGCCTCCAGTCTCTTTGAGCAACCATCAGCCCTTATCACAATGCAATTGCCATCATCCCCGTGTTTCCTATAATGTAATAATAATTCTTAGCATACCTCTCCGTGTGCTTGCTTTGATAACTTGACAGGTTTTTTTCCCCCAGTTGTCTTCCTTCACCTTTTCCCTGTGTTTCTGATCGACATCTCATTGCATGCGAGATGCACTCATTGAAATGTGTTTCTTGCACACATTGATTTGTTGCTTTTCACTATCAAATACATTTTTGAAAAACATTCTCGTGGTTCTCACTGGCTTCTATAATTCGTCATGCTCATCCTGGTCCGTTTTCAATCATCTTAAGTGTACACATTCTATTGCCTTTTCCAACCGTGTCCGTACACTTAATTAGTTTCTTATTAGCGAACTTGTTTAATGTGACTTATTTTGCTCATATTTGTTCGCCATTTATTTCTCAATCCACTTTGCTCATATTTGTTTTAACCACAATTAATACATTATTGTCTGTATTTTATTTGGTTATGATGAATATCATCAACAAATCACAGTGATTAACTCCTCAGAGAATTACCGGCATACAATAGAAATTCCACTGCATTCTGAATGTAATATTTATTCAGCTTTTCTCAGATAGCAAAACACAACAAGCAGACAATATTCCACCTTCCAACATCTGTCCCTACACACAAAAAAACTAAAGCTACATTCAAAAATCTCATCAGCCACACATCTCTCTAGGAGGGCATAATTTCAACACCATTGGTTCAACATATGCAGACTTTGGACCATTTTCAGTATTCACTGTCTCATCAGTAGTCAGGCGTGTTTGGACCAATGCTGGTGAACTGCCAGATGTGTATAGGCCCAGGGCCCTCTGTTAAGTATGAGTCGACACAAAGCGATATAATACAGAATTACTATTGGCAACGCTCTTGTCTTTGTTAATAGTTCAATTTACTGCCCTGTAAATTATTGCTTTGTTTTATATTCAAAGACAAAGATCCCCCATTTAGCCTCAACAGACTGTTGGGGCAAGAACTGTTAGCGAGCACCTATGAATGCCGGCACGGTATACAATGGGGTGGGTGGCCAGCACCACGCCCAACCGCCTTTGTCTCCCCAGTGGCCATGTTTACACACTGCACAAAGTGTGCATTTGAGGCGGAGTCGACCTAGAAGAGGCCAGGACCAGTTCATATAATCGTCACTGTTGTTGGCCATGAGGGGGGAATCGAACTTGGGTCGCTGGGTTCGTAGTGCAACGCGATAACCACTACACTACTGCTCCCGATATACACATACCTAAAGTTGATGGAAATCAATGTTCTCCTCTGTGCATTGTTCTGTCGGAACACTGGCTTCTAAAAATAACTGCAAATTATGAGATGGAGCTGTAACTCAAGGGCTCACTTATTTCACAGCAGGATCAGCACTTTATTTTAGAAACGTCTAGATGAAATATTGCTTTGATAATTTATACATGTTAAAATGCCATTAGGATGTAAGTTTTAGAAATGGTGTCTTGGCACTTAACAAGAGGAGCCAATGCGTCTGGCTTGTAACTTTGGATTTGACTGAACTCTTTCAGCTTAAACATTTACTTTATAAACTGACCATATGAACCTAATGGCAGGACCCCGGGGTCCCGAAGAAACGAAAAAAAAAAACCCGTTAATTATTTATTTACTTTTGCCGACTCCGTCCTACCGCGCACATAAACGCCGCGACCCACCTGGTGCAGATCATTCTGTTGTCATGTCGTCGTCCAAGCGCAGCAGCGAGGACGAATGTGCAGAAGAGCTGAACAAGCGAATGCACTCCATGCCCGGGTATGGGCAGGATCATAATAAGTCTTATCCAAAGCTGCTCAAACTGCCGACACGACTTAAGTCCTTTATTTGTCATCACGGTATGCATAATACAGTGAAACTGCTCTCTTGTCTTCATTATTATTTGTGACCTACCAATGTCTGCAGTCACGATCAATCGATGACAATCCTATTACCTGCAGATATATAACAGATGAGATGCGTTGCACCGTTAATTCCTCCTGTTTGATAATTAATACTTCTCTTGTCCGTATGCATCTGTGCAGATAGGGTTTTTTGTGGTTAAGCCATAGTCCCCACATACCGCTCGTATCAATGCGGATAAGAGGAGCGGCGGCCCACTACTCTGTAGAGTAACATTGGTATAAACGCGTGTTACAATATGAACAGCGCATTGAAAACGCGTACTATTTTATGTACTGTTTACAAAGTGTGTTCACAAATCCACACTGAGAAACACAATGATTGACAGAGGGGTGTAAATAATTTTTTCGATCGTGGATTTAAATAGAGGTACTGCAGGTAAGTAGTTTTCAGTTTTGAAGGCATAGTTTAACAAGACAACACCTGGCACCATCCTTCAAACCCATTGCTGAAAAAGAGCAAAGTTTTTGTTTACATTGTAATCTCATGTTCACGCGAGAGCCGGGGGGTTTTGGGACCCCGGGGTCCCGCCATAAGGTTCATATGAAGGATGTATCAAAGAAAAACGTTTTTAATATATCTCCCATATTCTACATGAAAAACTGAGTTTATTTCCTGACAGGGTATATTGTTAAATGGTTCTTAGCCTGTCTTGTCATGTTGAGTTGTAATATTGGTGGGGTGCTCGTCAATCTGTGCGTTCTCTTGCAGGGCCTTAAAAACCAGACTATGGTGAAGGTGAACATTGTCAGCTGCCCTCCAGTCACCTCTGTCCTCATAAAACGACCAGACCTAAAGTACCAGCTGGGCTTCAGCGTGCAGAACGGCATCGTACGTTAACGACATCTACAACCACGGCCTAGACGTCATTTTATGGATTTATTTTTTATTTTTCCTTAACTTTTGTGCCTTCTCAAATTAAATGAGCCCATACTTCTTTCGACAACTGGGTCGAAGTGTTTTGACGTTGCGCCCCTTTGCCCACTCTCGGGCTTTCTGCGACAGATTTGCAGCCTAATGAGGGGAGGCATTGCCGAGCGAGGTGGCGTGCGCGTTGGGCATCGCATCATAGAAATCAATGGGCAAAGTGTCGTGGCCACTCCACACGAGAAGATAGTGCACGCACTCTCCAACGCAGTGGGAGAGGTAAGTGACGCGCACCTAGATTCGTCGATGACTTCAGGGTTGTACTGGCCTGTCACCAAATCACCTGGAATGCGCGCCCGAGCCTGCCATGCATCAGAGGCTAATCCGTGTTGAGCCTGGATACCACTTGTATGGGCGACCGCCATGCACAATCTGGTTGTTATAGGTTGCAGGGCTATGTGGTGGGAGGCAGAGGGCATTGCAGCAAAATCCATTGTTATACTACTTCTGTGAACCCACATCTTTGCTCCGCGCCTTCTACCCACAGCGCGGGAGGCTCGCATCGAGCAGCTGACTGATAAAAGGGCTATGTGTCTTCAACACATGATGCTCATAAGGTTGTGAGTTCAATCCCAGTCTGCTCAGCCTGTTGTCCCTCCATGATAGATTAAATGAATACCACTATGTGACAAGTAATCGGTGGTTGTCCCATGGAAACACACGCGCCCACGATGAGAAGTTTAGAAATGCCATTGCTGGCTCAATACCACCAACAGATTAGCATCACCCCATTGCTCATTTGAGCCACTATGACCGACTTGGCTTCATTTTAGAGAGTACAGAGGAGTGGCGGTGAATTCTAACGAGATTTCTTATTGCGTGTTATTTTGTTTCTGCTAGATCCACATGAAGACAATGCCAGCAGCCATGTACCGCCTGCTGACGGGCCAGGAACAGCCAGTGTACTTCTGATTCCGCATGGCCAGCCACTTATTCCATGCAGCCCTATCCCTGCACATGGCCTACGTTGGACTGCCCCCCTCCCCCCTTGCTACAGACATAATCTCCTTGTAGGTTATTTGTAACTAGCTGCGCTTTAAAAAAAAACATCTTAATACTTAGAAATACGATTAAGACATTTTAGGGTCAAATGCTTTACATTGTGTAATTTAGGCCTGCAGAAATCACTGTTTGCCAATTGTGTTACGTGTTGATCCTGCCATAATGGTTAAATTCGAGACGTGCTAGAGTTGGTATTTTTATGTCAACCCACATCGGTCAAGCAAGTAAATACATATTTTAAGAGTCCTTTGGGAGTTTTACAGCAAACTGTTCATTTTCTCGCTCTATTTGAGTTATCATTTGCCGTGTAGCATATTGAGTGATTAAACATGTTTATCAGAGTTGTTGAGCATTATAATGCAATGAATGCACATGCACTCTATGTTCTTCACTGGTACTATCTAACTTATTGGCTTAATGTTAATGCGTTTAATTCTGGGAGTTTTGTAGCTTTAGAATATATTTCGCTCTTGTCAAAGATAATACAATTATGAACGTAATTTTGTTTTAACATGAGAAATTATGCTTTCACATGTTTATTTTTTATTTTAAAGTGTTGTTTTTGTATATGTTGAATTTATATTTTTGAGGAATGTCATTGGAGACAAATCCGCATTTAAATGCTTCCCTGTAGATTTTTTCATCCAATTGACTAGTACCAAGCCACCAGGTGGGCAACCCACATGTTTATATTTGCTTCGAATTCGTCATTTTTCTGGCAGTCGACAAGGTATATCGTGCACTGGGAACATATCAGTGGCATTCAAAATGAAACCAATGCCCTCGCGGTTATTGCCTGTATTTTTGTGGAAAAGGAGACTTGGTAAGATGATGGGAATACTTATAAGCTTAGCAGACATGAAATGTTATGTTGTTTACTCTGTGAACATCACCGTTGCTTAACTGCACATGCCCCCGTGTGGTTGCATCTGCAAATTAAATAAGACTTAGACCAACTTTGAAGTTTCCGTACTTACACTTCTACTGTACAACTCAATGCACATCATCATATGTAATTTCTTAAGTCTAATGGTATTACTCTTAACGGAGTTGAAACAAGTAAAGCAATTGACCCTTTATGCATGGAGCATTCCGTTACATTGATGTACTGTTTTAATTTTTTCGGTGTGGGCCAAACAGAAGTTGTTTATTTTGACGTCTTGTATAAACACTAAAATGAACAAGTAGTGTAATGGCTGTACTAACTTATTGAAAGGCTGCCATACTAAAGTGCAGCCATTCTAATTCTAAGTGCAATTTAATGGTAACTTTGAAGCTAGATCAAGTGTACATATAGCTATGTTGTTGTATAACAATGTCTTGTACTTTTAGCTCATTAGATGGTAGAACGAATTAGTGAACTGCTTAATATTAAGCTAATCTGCTGAATCTTATCAAACGTGTAAGCCAGTGGCGTACAGTAGCTCTGTAAAGTTATGTAGTTATATCCAGATGTCTCTCACTAGCGCACATTGCCACTAGATATCAAAATGTTTTTTTGTTTTTCAAGCATATATAACTGGCCACTGTAAAATCGGATTTACCAGTGTTGTACAAGTGTAATTGGCATTGTATTTTTTTTTTACATTCTGTATGTTTTTTAGGATAACACCGGTGGTCATAACATCCCATAAATGTTAAAAGGTTAAGAAAACTAGTTATTTTAGAAAGGGGAAGAAAAGGTTTGCGGTCATATTTCATGTTGCATGGCATTCTCTGTTCAATAAGTGTATCCATACATTTCTTAGTAGGCTGCTTTACAATACAACAACAACATGCAAAGTAATTTTAGAACTTGTTCTTTAAAAAGTGTTTCATCATTTTGGTTCGTGCATGCCTGCCTTAACTTCATAGTGAATCAACATCTTGCAAAAGTAGCTCCAAACCTATTGTTGTGAAAAATGTAGTTAATAATCCTTAAATTCCAGTATGTGTGGTGAATGTGCAGTAATACGAAATAAATATTAAACAATTACTGTTGTATGACTGTCTTTATTTTGCACCGCTTCTACATCTGTCCTGTTGCTACTTGCTCATATAAAATAAATGGACATTGCTTTGTAGTGTTTAAATACGGTATTCAGAGTGCGGTAATTGCAACATTAACTTTCAGCTATTTGGAAGCAGTTGTTTATACGCAACTCCGGAGGTTGTAATAATTACGCGATAAGTTATTACAGTTTTGATTAAAATTATGTGCCTGGCGATTCGAATGTAATGTCCGTTCACTATTTAACCAATGAAAAGAATGTATTTATAGTATTGTGGCAGTCCTTATCGATTACTGGCTTTTGGACATCCGCTGGCAATCATTCCAACCTGAGCTTGGTGTACACTTCCCATGCAAAGAGATTTTCATTTGTTCTATTAGCAAACAGGAGACATTTAAACTTTGCATACATGTTAACCGCTTATGATGTGATAATTATCAGTGCCTACCTTATTACAGACCAATTCAGCCATCATTGGTTACAACCTGTGCCCTTAGAAATCTCAACTTCCATCCGACAAAGTCCCATCACAAGGGAGAAACACAAACATTGTTTAAATGCCCGTCTTGAAACGGCTTTACGCGGTGTGGACCTGACAACTCTATTTCCCTGTACAAGAACACGGGTAAACCATATGGGTTGAAACGTATGACTTGGTGTTTAAAAAATAACTTTCATATTTCACATAAACATAACCGTCCAAAGATCTATTTCCACAAAAGCCACTGGAAGGTTGTTAGACTGCATGTCTAAATGGCAGTTGATGGCCCCAGTATGTCTCATCAGGAGTTAGCTTTGTTAAAACGAACGGAGAAGTAGGCAAACGTTTGAAAAGAGGGGAAGTTTTCAAATGTTCGTTGAGCCGTAGGAGTCTGACATTATCTGCGCATCTGGTGTCACCCAATGGTTTTCTTTTATCATCCTTAGCCATCATCAAACCACTGCTGTATGAAGGTCTCTCCAAAAATGTCTCCATCATGCGGCCCTGCGATCCACCTCGCATATGAACATGAACCGATTTAATCGCACCATGAATCTCTTATCTGCCCACAATGGGATTTTCCATATCAATTGTATATCTTGGTAAACAATACAAATACAGTTCTGTCACGTTTAATTTCAAGTGACGTTCATGATATACACCACTGCCTTAAATGTCGTATGTTGCTGTTATTTTATTTTACGGTGTTTAAAATTATACAGCAGATAACCCCCAAAGTCACAGTAAAACATATATACTTGTGAAAATTGTAATTTCTGCGTTATATAAAAAAAAATCTCAGTCGGTAAAGAAGCCTCACTGAGTTTATAAGAGCGCCCTCTACTGGACTCATCAGACACTTCAACAAAGTGTTTACTCGTAAACTGACTTCGATACAATATTAGATATTTAGAGGTTTTGATGTTAACGTTAATATATATGCCATGAAAAGTGTTTGCTTCATTGACATTCTATCAAAAAGCCGAGAAGTTGCGTCTTGTTTTCCCATTGGACAAACATCTTTCGAATTACTGTTTAAAAGAAAAACACTTTTAATTTAACACGATACTATTAAATTGGTAATTTCAAATAGAATTAAGTCATTTGATGAACAGGCATTGTAGATTGATTAGCCTTCTCAATGAAGAGTCGTCATACACAGATCATACTTTTACTTTAAAAAATGTGTTTTACTGTGGTTAAGGTCAACGCGTTACTAAACACACTGAAATGTAAATACAAACAGCAGCATCAACAACAAGAAAAGAAACCGATTTCAAATAGAGGTGGCATGAAACTGCCACTGCGGCTGCTTTCAGAATAGGTCTGCTGAAAACGACCATTAAACCATGCCGATTCAAGCCATGGAGAGTGCTTCCCGGGCGTTATTGCCACTCGGCTGCCTGCCTTTTATGTGGGTGACCGGATGCGACACTCTGCGGCAAGCGGCATGAGCATTCAGAGACGTCCCGTCCCAAAAGAGCGATCACATTTGACGGATGGCTCTGTGTGCACGACAAGCACTCGAAGCGGTATCTGCTCCCGAAGCCACGCAATTGCCCCCAGGAAAGGGGGAAAAAAACATACTGCTCATCCAAACGAAATGTGACTTGAGCGCTGTAAGAAGGTGTAGGGAAATGTTGTGGAATTTGTTATTTAGGTTTAAGGTAAGAGTGGAGCCGCGTTCATCACACGGTCGTGTTGTCACAGCAAAGCTAGCGAGTGGTGTTAATAAAGCAGGACACATGTTCTTCATCAGCCGTTTTCTATCCACTGCTAGATGAAGGCATCTGCACGCTGTCACCAACCCTCACGGTCTAATGCTGCTACCATCCATCATCTCGAACTGATCTCATCCCTCCATCTCGGCGTTGGGCATATTCCCTCCTTTGGCTGTCATTCTGTCATCAGTCCCGTCGTCCTGTCTACCGATGTGTCCTGTCCGAAACGCCTTCTAAAGTACTTTTCTCAATTGCCAACAGGTCTCTTATTTGAACGCATTCCCTGCTTCGTGTGTAATTTCAAGCTTGCTTCTCTCAATGCGTCACAGTTCAGTGGATTGATTTGAAAAAAGCGCAAAATGCGCGTGGTAAACTAAAATCTCATTCTGGGCAAATGTACTTATTCCGTGAATTATTCACTTGCATGTGCCGGAGACAAATAAACAATTGTTTCATCGCATGGGCTAGCGATTTACGCTAATGGAACTAACCGTTGGTTTACAGCAGTACTGTGTAGCGTCAGCACCAGTGGTGCTGTGTGGAATCCCCATGGAAGGAGCTTATGAATAATGGCTCAGGACAGCAGCTAGCGGTAGCAGCAGCCTCCTGCAAGCAACAAGAGGTGTAAGGGAAGAGTGATGTTCACATCGGGCGGCTTTAAACAAAAAATAAATTGGGTCAGTGCAGCACTTGTTAGGCACAGAGATGCGTTAGCCTGCCAATCCCACACCTCGAATCCGTCCTATGACCCCATGTCAGCAAGCCTTCACCACTGAAAATAGCTTTATACTTGCACCATTACAGGCACTGGCTCCACTGTTTTGGCCCTACCACTTCGTGTATGGCGCCCCGGTGGCTAGGAGATGTTAACTGCCTCGCCTGCTATGCAGGAGGTCGTAGGTTCGATCCCGACCCTGACGCCTCCTGCATATTTGGAGTTTGCATGTTCTCCTCGTGGTCGCGTGGGTTTTTCTCCGATTTTCCCCTCCACATTGAGAAACGTGCGTTTATAACATTTAGCTGCTATAAATTTCCACGTGATCAGCTACTTCGTTGAGAAATAATTTGTGGCCAGGTCGCTTCTGAAAAAGAGAGAATATAGCTCAGTGGGCCTTACCCGGTGAAGTAAAATAAACGAGTTTGGTTTGGTACGTGTAAGAAATAACACCACAATTACTCATGTACAGCCCTTTGTCCAACTCTCTTCCACGCCGTGTTGGTCACGTGCCGGTAGGAAGAGGAGAAGTCGCCCCAGACCCGGTTCAGCTGTCACTCGCCACTGGTGGTAACCACAGCTGGGCATCGAACCGAGGTTGCGGGATTTGTAGTTGAGCGCGTGAACCACAACGCTCCGCAGTTTCACCCCGTGGAAAGAGTATAGTATGTCGAACTAATTGGATGGTGGTGTGCTGGTGTTTAACAAGCAGCAGCGTAATCAGAACGGTACACTGTGCATCTGACTGTTGACATTTAACTGTGCACGAGAAGCATTGCATGTCTGGCCATGGCTTGATAGCCTTTGTTATTTTACCCAAATGTAAAGCAGTCAATTACAGTATTCGCATGCTCTATATATATACATTGCGTCAGGTAACATGGTAGCCATGCCAAGCAATCTACCAAAGCGCGGTGAGGTCAAAGGTCACCGGAATTATTATAAAATCGGTGGAACAACATTTTCCCAGGAGGCTCTATTTGCTCTGTGCGGCATGACGAGGATTGCATCGCTGTTTCGTCGGAGCTGATGAAGCCACAATATTGCATTGACGCTGACTCGTGCATCAAGCCAAGTGTCATCGACGGAGGAGAGCGGTCTCGTGCCTGGTGTACACAATTGCAGCAGTGCAATTCGTACAAGAATAGTTCACCAAACGTTGTACAACGTTGCGATAAGTCGCGTTTTGTGTCGTCGTACAGGTAGCTTGTGAATCAGCAGGGCTTTGGAAAATGTATACATTTTCTCAATATTCTTTATGTACGATATCGCCGCTCGGCCTTTTGGCGGCCAACATTTCACATTCGCGATTCACGCACGCTCAAGTTGCAACGCTCGCAGCACCACCCAACGATGATAGCACACAGAGGGGCAATTGTGTAAAGTGCTTACTGCAGCCTCAATCATTGAATCCATTTGGAAATTAAAGAGGGTATGAGGAAGAATCAGGGCTTTGCATATGCAGTGAAAGTGATTTTTCTTTCTGCAGAGCCGTTGTTTGAATAAGCGATTGATGTAACGTTACATAATGTGAGATTAGAGGTGGAGATTTGTCAAGTAAAAAAAAAGGCAACGTTATAATGTATGTAAATACTGCACCAACACGTGCCTGGAATGGGCCCATTTTGAGGAGGAGGTGGAGGGCACGTGGGGGAGTTGGTGCATCACACAGAACTGGCGTGAATGAGGTGCCCATGCGTCAGTCGTCTCAACCTTTCTTGAGCCTTCCGATGAAGGCCACTGGCGTCCATAACACCCCCTCCTCCATCCATAAAAACACAACTTAGTCCACTTAGGCCCCAGCATACACAGAGTTGACATGTCCGCGCCTCCAGTCTATACTGTGCCAGTTAGGCCTTTTTTACATTTGCAGCTACAAGTGTATTGGATGGCGCTATCAAAACGAATTATTAAAACCACTATTTGTTTCATGTTGCGGTGGTGTGGGTTTCTGGGCACTCTAATTTTCTCCCAGATGCAAACACTTTAAAAACAAACGCACACAGAATTCGCAGAATACCCCAAAGCAGAAAAACCCCCTCTGACCCGTGGGTCTTTAAGATAGAG